ACGGAAAAAAAGAAAAAAAAAAAAAAAAAAAAAAGAAAAACAAAGTTGACCAGAGAGGAAGGAAGGAATCAATCCTTGGTAAAGGAAGCTCGTGGGCAGCGTAGGTAGGTAAATCTTTAATACGTATATAGCTGGGAGCGAAAGCGAACATATCAATGGGACGGTTACAGCGCTATGTTACTTTTCGTGAACTTTTTACGCACAGGAGTACAAGAAAAAAAAAAAAAAAAAAAAAAAAAAAACAGACGTGTCTCCGTTTACGTACACCAATGTTTATAATACAATTGCCCGTCGCCATTGCTCATTCACATTCCAGCCTTCTCTTAAAATACATCGTATGTATACACACACACACACACACACACAAACACACTTGGGTATACGCATGGATACACGTAGTATGAGCTTCTCTCCCCTTTGATAGGGCCGACGTCACAGACTCGAAAAGTCAGCCACCAGATATAATATCAACATCCCCGCGAATAGTATATGCTACGATGTATATGAGAATATAGTACGTGTGTGTACTCACTCGAAGCCGAAGCGCTCGTGGAGAGGCCGACACCGACGAGGAGACGACGGAGGATAACAGGGGCTGCTTGGAGTAAGAGCACGACGAGGTGGTCGAGGATGCCTCTTCGTGGCTGCGCGAGTGTCGCAACCCGCCGAGCCGATGTTCCCGCGACGAGCCCGAGGACGACGGCAAAGTGCTGATGATCCCCGTGGACGATCCACCTCCCGTACAAGCACGCCTACCCTCGGCCATCTCCTACTGGCTCTCTTCTGGTGGCTGGTAGTGCCCCCCCCCCCACCCTTTCTCGGCACTACTTTTATCGGCGGCCCGTCGACGAGGGTACCCACCACCGACTCACCCCTTGCTGCATCCGCCGCTACGCTCGGGTACCAAATCTCGTTTGGTGTATCACTTGTCGGTGACCTATTGGAGGTACTTTACTTTTTCTTTTTTTTAACCTAGGTTTTTTAACGCGACACCACCACGTCCCGGGGGGAGCGCGGGCCAGCCGACCCTCTCGGAGCGCGACGGGGACAAGTATCGCGGCCACACGGTCAAGCTACTGCTGCTAGCTTTCCTTTTTTTTTTTTTTTTTTCCCCTCCTCGGCGAGCGGGGCGACGACGGTACACACGGACGCGGAAAGCTCTCCCTTTGGGCGCTTGCGCGGAGCCGTACATATATATGTGGTCGCGCTCTCTCGAGCCACCCCCTCATTGCGCGTGTGTATGTATATATACGTCCTATGGCACGCGGGTGCTCGATGACGACGAAGATACGGAGCCACTGACTCGTGCAGCGAGCTTTTGCGTGGGACGAGCTCCGCTTCTGTGTGTCGTATATGCGCACGCTCGTATAATAACAATACGTGCGTGTGTAATGTATATATGCTACTGTCGTACCGGTGATGTCGCGCTTGGGCTTTTCGTTTAGCCATTTTTCAGGGAGGCTGCGTATACCTATATCGTACGAATCGGAAATATGGTTTTCCGAGCAATGGCCCATACACGGTCTCCTGCTTTTATAGTGGGTCCTCCCCCGCCGGTGATTAAATTTGTACTTACGAACAATTATTTTTAGAAAGCCGCTCCGGCGGGTGTAATTCGCGCAAGTTTAATTTCATTCTCGACTATAGTCGCGGCAACAACTTTTGTACATCGTCATCGCGTAGAAGGAAAAACAACAAAATATACCCATGCACGTGGAATATACATACATATACGTATGTATCGTTACAAATGGCATTGTTTACTTGAATCGAGAGTGTAATGGCACAGTTGGTGTTCGAAGCGAGATGAAATATACAACAAAACCCACGTATCTCTGGTGGCAAATAAAAAAGGATGGTACATCAGGCGGTGTGAGCCATCCTTGAATAAAATGCCCATCTCGTTCGTCCACTAATATATGCATGATTTATGCCCTGTCGGTTAACTCCGCTCGACTCCGATATTACAATACAAAACCCATCCACGTACATAAAAATACACTATATATGTATATATACGTATATACATGTATTTATATACGCTTGTTACATACCGATGAAAGAAGCAAGTGCGGGGTAAAACGTCGTCATCCCCAGGTTGTTTTGTTCGGCCTCGTCGCTTCCTGCTCGCTCGATATTCGTCCCCGATCTATTCGGTCTGTTGTTTCCGCTAATCGTATACAAACTACGCGGGGGATTACCCGTGTGTGGCCTTCCAGTGGCTCAAGTACGCGCGTCTGCATTAAAAAAAAAAAAAGAAAAAAAAACAAATAATTTCAAACGCGCTCGATGATCAACTTGCATGCTGTTATACCATCAAAGAGGCACTGTTTTGCGCCGATTTGGCAGCTTCCTTGAATCATAATTCGCCAAAGTTCTTTTTTTTTTTTACGACCAGAGTCGAATTTGCATCGCCTATAATGCCGCGACCTCGAGCCTCATCTTTTACAGCGTGAATACGCATCGATAAGCTTATACATATACATATGCAGAGATGAGAAGGAGCGAGATCAGTGCTCTTGCGAAAACAGCCGGTGGTTGTCTCAAGGATCGCTTTAGTTGTGCCACGTGCGCGTGGACCCGGTAATCATATATATATATATATATATATGCCAATTATAGGTATATATATATACGTATGTATGCTTTTTCTCCCTGGGGAGCAGGTTCCGTTTTATCGCATCTCCATGTGGAGCTCGGGTTTAGCCTGAGGGACGGAGATCACCTGTAGTTACTTTTGTGCACATGAGCCGCACCGATGGCTCAAAAAGATTTTCTTCGGCGCCGTGATATATTACACCGTGTATGTAACGGGACCTCAGGGGGAGAAGGAGAAAAAAACGGGCCTAATAGAATTACGCAATGAGTTACGCCGAGCGCCGCATGATAATTTGCATAAAAACGTACACCGCCACTTTTAAGTGTATATATATATATTTAAGACCGTAAAGACAGACACAGGTCGAGAAACTCGTGAGAGAATGTATATTTTGGTGTGCTCGCCTCGCACAGGTGTGTGTCTCCTCTTGATACTGTATTGACGAAAAGTCACGCTTTCAAAACGTACATAATGGACATTATTTTGTTCTTGCACGTATACTATACACGGAAAAAGGGAGAACCACGTGAGCGGCTATTATTGCCAAAGTCAAACTTTCGTAATTGAACGAAGAAAATGGGGAAGCTTGAAAAATTGAATTATAGGCCGCTTCCTTCCTGCAGGCCTCGATCTACGCATCCATTAGAGCTCTGATGAGTGTATACATGTTGCGGCCCTGCAATGACGAGGCTGTTTTTTTTTTTTTTTTTTTTTTTGCAAGAGAGCGCGTCTTCAATAATTCAATGTTTCATTTTCATTTCCAGTTTCTTTGTGCACGCAGTTTCCTAACTCCCCGCGATTTCACATATACACACCCATTATGTACTTATACACCGCGCGTGCAGTTGTTTGTGTTACGGAGCTCATCTTGAATGGGAATGTTTGGTCGAGTGATTCACGGCGAGTTCCAACGGTAAACGGCTATATAGTGCGTCTGCGTTGTGTGGAACCGCTACCTATGTATAGTATGGTAGATATATAGGCTCGTGCATTTTCAAGCCATACAACACGTACTGTTACCTGTTTTGTTGTTTGCGGTTGTAAAAAATTATGGTGGAAAAATTTGAATAATCACTGGGGTTTGCGAAAAAAATTAAAGAAGCGAAACTAGTGGAAAAAAGAGAGAATTTAGCCGTATTTTGGCGAAATTTCTTTAAATTCGTGAGATGCCGAGTATCATGCGCATTAGAGGCCAGATGGGTCAGGCTCGGATAGCTCAGTCGGTAGAGCATCAGACTTTTAAATTTCTAAAGACATCTGAGGGTCCAGGGTTCAAGTCCCTGTTCGAGCGAAAATTTTGCAATTTTTTTCTCTGTCTCTTTCGACACCGTAACAATATCGATCGATGTATCATTGCTTAATATTTCTTTTTTTTTTTTTTTTTTTTTTTTTTTTTNTGGCTGGTCCCAGCGACCAGGCCAGTAGGCTGTCGCGGTATCCCGGGGAAAAAAAAAAAAAAAAAAAAAAAAAAAAAAAAAAGGAAAAATCGGGAGATAATGAAAACCTTGACTCTGAAGCTGTGCGAAATTATTGGAGAGGGGAAAAAAGAAAACTCTAAAATTACGAATCAACCACGTATACATATATAATACACCACATCACTCAGCCGCGCAACGCAAGCGATCCCGAGCTCGAGATAATTGCCGGCTCGTGTGTACACATAAATATACTCCTACGTAAATACACACACGCGTCTGTTTGTCATCATTATTATTATTATTATTTCGTTACGCGCGCGTCTATGCACCGCAAGTATGTACATCATAATCAAGCGAATCTGGCTGTCGCGGGAGATTTTTCAAAAATCATCGCTATCTCGTCGCGCGTACCCATACACACCTAAATACCGATCGCGCTCACGCATCACAGTATCTACCCTCGGATCGTCGATATTATACATATATGTATGTATTAACTTTGGTGTCAACGTACGATTGTCCGGCGTAAAAAACTGTAAAATAGATAAGTACATGCAAAGGGTACACGCGCGCTCCCGGAATCCCGGAGTGGCGAGAGATACCGGCCCCTGCAACGAGCCGGGCGATATATAAATTAAGCGCCACCGATTTGCGCCAAAGTCGTGCCATGTCCACGCAATAAGTACACGCACATCCTCGAGGATACATATACCCAAGGTACAACTAGAGCCTGCGAAACGTGAGTATCATCTGCATATATGTATAGGGATACAATCGCACAGGTGGGCAAAGGGGCTTTTTTCGTGTCTTTTTTTTTTTTTTTTTTCTTTTTTTCACACGAGCCCGCCAAAGTACCGTTACGTCGGAGATTGATCCTTCAAAGGGATGGGAGAGGTTCTCTTGTTCGCTCTCGCCCGCGAATACAAACGAGAGCGTGGAAACTGACGTCGGGTCTCACCTTTTGTTTTTTGTTTTTTTCCACCCTTTCGCCACTCGAGCCATGAGCGTATTTTTTGTTTGTTTAAGGAGCGAACCATTCGGTGAACCAAAAATGATATTCGTGTCGCAACCATATATAATACGCGCTTTCTCGCACTAGCCCATTGTCTTTGTGGTGTGCAGCACACGCGCGTCTCCCGTTCCACTTTATATACGTTCGTCCGTTTGTTCCTCGTTTTTTTTTTTTTTTTTTTTCTCAATGTTGAGAGCAAGGGTCGTCGGAATTTACAAAGGTTTACACGAGCAAGGATATTGTGTCAAAGGTTTATTCATGTGTTAATTTGCTTAACTGCCGAATCGTATAACTCATAATACCTGCATTGTTTATTACATCGTTGTTCAAAGTTCGAGTACAAACATCAACCGATGCAACAATAAAATCGTTTGGATAAAGCCTGTTTTTTGAGCGTTTTGTAGAGATAAAGTCGGAGCGATGCGTGTTTTGATAAGGCAAATAGAATCGTACTAATCGAGCGAATCAACAGATTTTTTTTTTTTTTTTTTAGCTTGAGGGTCTTGATATTATGACCTATTTGTAAAAAACATAAACGAAAACAAATCCAAAAAATGTGTAAACTGTACAGCGATTATCAACTAATTGTTCAACTCCAGAAATTGTTTGTATCATATTTACTGTCTTAGCCGTTTCTCCCAGGAATGCAAGCCTAGCGAGAAAAGTCCGGGTATTGATCTCGCGAGTGCGTGTGTCACCACCACACTCCCAAGTTCCACTAACCGCAGCCCAAACC